AACTTCGATGCCAACTTCACATAGCTGAAAAAAATAATGTCCTCGGAGTTCAACCAACTCAAGGTTCAATACTCTCTCGCGTGTAAGGCATTTCTCGAAATGATTTTATTTTCCCGATGCACGCGGCACGATAAAACAGAGTGAAGTGTAAGTAGAAAGACCTTGCGAATGCTAAAAATAAATCGATGCGATTTTTGTTCACCTTGAATCATTGGGCATAAATTAAAACAACATGAGAGTACAACAGACTCATTTTATTTTGGAATCATGAGAGTGTGATTAAGATACATTAATATAAACGATTGATGAGACTAAGAATCTACGATATGTGTGTTCCTGGAATTATCGATATTATTAAATATGTCAATGACCCACCACCAGTCCCGTACGAATAGAGCGATTAGGCTCTTAAGAATCCGTGAAATCCAACCCCGGTTATGATAATGTGAAACTATGAATAATTCTCTATCAATTAATTGTGCTAGATTAATAGCTTCAGGCACTGAATTGATTTAGGCAGGCCAGCTAATACCCGGGCCATGGACATCGGTGTCGTAGACGTATTTGATCTTGGGATGAGTTGTTTGTCCAAACATTGCTTGACGTACGAGACTGAACATTGCAGTTCCCATAGCCATATTACTCAGCATTGTTGCCATTGATGCAGCTGCTCTAGCATGGGCCAATGCCATCTGCAAAATGAAAGTCACGGCGAAACCAATTCCTGGAATAATTCGAATCATATTGTTCTTGTTCATGTGACGGGCAAGGCTTGTGAGAGAGTCGCTCATTTTTCGACTGATTATCTCATCATCGAGTTTTGGAAGATGAATGACAACAGGTGACTTTGTGATTTCCTCGTTTGAGAATTTATTATCGTCGATGGTGTCTTGCTCATGTTGGATTTCGTCGAAAAGATTGCTCTTCTCTTCCTGTAGCTGCAAGGGAATAACTCTCAACCGTTGAGGGGACGTTGACTCCGCTGGTTGTCCTTCAGTATGATAATTATCATAATTCAACTCGATTTTGTTTTCCTGGAGTTGCTCAAGATTGTTGGCCAGCCGCGCTTTAAGTCTCGGGCCGAACAACAATTCGAATGCTTGATAGGCATCGCTAGGATTGAATCTGTGATTCCCAAGGTGAGAGATTCCATCGGTTTTGTTTGCCTTGAGCCTCTGGAGGAACAAATTGACGATGTTCTCGGAATTTTTTAATTCTTCAGGGTCGCTGTCAAACGGAAGCGATCGACTCTTCCCCTTTCGCTTGTCTTTGCTCAATTTGTGACTACCCCTGCCAGTGTTCAAGACATCCTCCATAATATCACTGATGATAGTCAAGATACTCGGAAGATTTTTATGGTCTTTGATTTTAGCTCGTCCTGTTCTTGCCTCTGAGAATTTAATTCCGATCTCACCATTGCCATAGCCTTCGAATTTAATGAGGCCCAATGTTGATTCGAATTTTTCTTCGGTTAAGGATTTGTACCAATCGAGTAACGTGTGCTCCATCTCCTCTTTTCGGACAAACAACTCTTTCTCGAGGTCTTCAACGGATACGTCTGAAAGGCCATCGGTGTCCTGAGCGGAGCGGCCAAATGGCAATTGAATACCTAACAATGATGGCACGGTAGAGGTGATAAGAGGCCACATGAATATTCCCATACACCTGATGAAACTCAAACCCGTAACGCAACGAATCACTTGACCCATGACACCTCTTGTATTTTTAATTCCTAATTTCTCTACCAGTTTGAGAATTGCTAGCTGCTGCGGTGTCAGAGATGCTTTTATGGTTGAGTTGAGGTACTCCAAGAGGGACTCTCTGGTTGGCTCTAGAGATTCTTCAGTGCTTGTTGTTGCGTTAGAGAGCAGCTGCAAGAGGTCTGCTTCAGTGATGTTTAATGTCGATGCATCATCGGTCTTTGATGTTTGTTCGTCTTCGAGTAGATTGATAATTTCCCTTCGTTTTCTGTCCAATGGCTCGCGTTCGGTATCAGGAAAGATTACACGATCTTGAGAGATATCTATGAGGATATCAGTTGGCTGGCCCGGGAAGGGTGGAACCACTGGGGCTGACCCTGGAAAATCAACAAGGTTTCAGGGATGGAATGGTTTATTGAGCCTGCTGGTATGGTAATGTGTGTTCACCTACTGACGCAGTGTATCCAGGAAGAAGAACACTGTGCTGGCCAGTTGTAAATTCGGCAGTAGACTTTGTCGGTTGCTGGAATTGAGGGATAAGCTGTCCCAAGCCTTGTCCAAATTGAGAGAAGTTGGGAATCTCTGGAAGATGTTCTTGTAGAGTCGAAAAATTCGGTATTTCGGGCACTTCAGGTAAGAAGTTGCTTATGTCAGGAAATTCAGGGATATTTGGGAGGAATTGTCGGAGAGTAGGCCAGGCCACTGCCTGCGAACATATGGGAAAACCACTCCCTCGAACGCAGCCCATTATCTTGACGATGAACATTGGACGCGCGTCCTCGGGTATCAAACCCTCAGTCATTCTGATGATTTTCACTTGCTTGTCAGTTACCAGCGCTGCTGTCAACGGGTCCTCAGTGTTCAGGTAAGATACTCCGGAATGGATGTTCCCTCGCAGTCCTGAAATCTTAGCTAGAAGGCTTTCTAGTTTAGATTCAAGGGTCTCTGGCAGCTGCTGTAGCTGATTGTGATCTGGTTGATTGATCCGAGGAAATTCTGAATCGAGTACTGGTGGAAGAAGTGTCGGTTGCTGGGGTTTGCCATCTGTCAAACTGGGCAGACTTCCAAAATTGGGAAAACTCGCGAGTCGTGGGAAAAATTGACCGATTGTTGGCCAGGCTATATCTCGCGCACAGTCTAGAAAGTTGGTATCCCTGACGCACTCACTCATACGAATGACGAAAATATCGCGGATTGACTCAGGTAGAAGATTTTCTGCAACGACAACGATATCTCCTTGTGATTTCGTGAATATCGACGCATATGGTGGAGATTTAGCGATTGACGAAGGTGTGGTGTTGATCTGATTCAGGGAAGACGGCTGAATGCCCTTCAGCATTGTCAGGATAATCTCTTCTGGGTGTTCACCGAAGATAGGAACAAATCGTGTGTCTGTTATCGTTACCACAGTATCCCCGTGTTGGCCAGTCTTCACGTCGGTTTCTGATATGTGACGATAGTCTGGCGATGGGGATTGATTATCCTGCACCGAGTTCTCTTGGAAATTCGGGAAGCTTGGAATTCTTGGGTAGTGCTTGGTTAAGGTTGGCCAAATATTATCACGCGCGCAGGTTTGGAAGGAATTGTCAATGAGGCACACTAATATTTCGTTGAAAAATACTTGCCGACTTGATTCGGGTATCAAATACTCGGTTGTCTTTAGAATCCGCTCTTGCTCTTCATTCAGTGAAGAATTTATTGTGGAGTAGAAGGTCATGAATGCTGGTACTCTGCTGCGGTAATCTGCAGGGCTTGATTTCTCCACCGAATCAGCCATGGCAGAGAGAATTTTCAGAATTACGGTATCCGGATGATCCGTGTAGATTGGCACAAATTTTGGATCAGTAACCGAAATTATTGGCTGATCATCGGCTTTTGCGGAAATTTCTGATCGTAGGGGTGATCTTCCAAGGATTGGGAATGGCTGTCTAAAGAGCTGAGCCAAGTGATGTTGACCGATGAATGGAGCGTATGAAACAGGTTCTAAAGAATATTCTCGGCCTGGGATAAAGTCCAATTCCGGCGAGTGTTTTTCCATTACTTGAGGTTTTTCATCGGGGAATGCTGGTATATTTGGTACGTAGAATGTCAGAAATGGCCAGATGACATTCTTTGTGCAACCTAAGAAATTCGATCCACCTTGAAGACAGCCCACGGTTTGTGAAGCGAAATCCGCTCGCATAGGGGGTGGAATTATACTTTTTGCAAGGGACAGGATGATTATTTGATCCTCGTTGAGTTGTCTCAATACTGCCCTCGGGCCAACCATGGGAATAGGTATCACTGGACTTTCCAGGATCGTGTAACGAAGGTTGTATAGGATGTCAATGATCTTTGCTTCGAGTGATTTCTGTTGGAGAGTCTCAGCAGGACCTTTTGAGAGTTGTTCAGACATGGCATCATCTGCCTGGATTTCTTTATGAATTTTCGGGCGATAACTCCCACCGCCGCTGCCACTTGTGCCTCCCAAATTTCCACTTCCAGATCCTGAAGAGCCATCCCCAGAGGGACTCGATGATCCACCAGACGAAATCGAACTCCCGGAAGAGCCTGATGATGCACTACTCCCACCTCCTTGCTCTCCGAGTGATGTGATACCTGGAAGGGCTGATGATATTCCTCCTACAACAGCTGGGATATATCCGCCATTGCCGCCAGTCCAGCTAACAGTTCCACCACCAGGAATTGGAGTGATGCTTCCGCCAGATTGTCCAGATTGTCCTGGTGACGAGCTCGATCCTTGGCCTCCAGTCCATGGAATGCCGCCGATGGAAGGGTTAGAGCTTCCGGTACCTCCACTTTGTCCACTATTTGAAGGACCACTGGAACTGCTACTGCCAGATGAACTCCCACCTCCTGCATTCGGCCCATATCCACTATTTGAAGATCCACTAGAACCACTACCACCTGAAGAGCCCGATGCCTGTCCTCCACCCCATCCCCCTCCAGTTTGTCCAGATCCACTATTCGAAGGACCACTGGAGCTGCCACTACCTGATGTGCCCGATCCTTGTCCTCCACCCCATGGTTGACCGCCGACAGAAGGATTTGACGGTCCAGTAGAACCGCTACCACCAGACCCGCCCGATCCTTGTCCCCCACCCCATGGAAGACCGCCGATAGAAGGAATTGAGATCCCACCTCCTCCAGTCTGTCCAGAACCACTATTGGAGGGCCCACTTGGACTGCTGCTACCTGGCGAGCTCGATCCTTGTCCAGGACCCCACGGTTGACCACCGACGGAAGGAATTGAACTTCCACCTCCGTCAACTTGTCCGGATCCACTTGAACCACTGCTACCTGGCGTACCCGATCCTTGTCCTGAACCCCACGGATGATTGCCGATGGCAGGAATTGAAATTCCACTCCCACCAGTCTGTCCAGATCCAATATTCGAAGATCCACTTGACCCACTGCTACCTGCTGAGCCCGACCCTTGCCCAGGACCCCATGGTTGACCGCCGATAGAAGGACCACTTGGCACATATCCGCCATTCGAAGATCCACCAGAACTGCCAATACCTGGTGAGCCAGATCCTTGTCCTGGACCCCACGGATGGCCTAAATTTCCGCCTCCAGTCTGTCCAGATCCAATGCTGCCACCAGGCGAACCTGATCCCTGTCCGCCATTAATCCCTCCCCATGAGATTGTTCCTGGAGGCTTAATTCCCGGAATACCTGACCATGTGATGGTACCTCCAGAATGATTTGGTACATTACTTCCTCCAGATCCTACGTTTGACATGTTCGATGTATTCATTCAAATATTTTTTAACGTATTTATATATTTATACATTTCATTCATCGATTTACCTGATCCAATCCCTGGGAAATTGGGAATGCCACCTCCTGAACCCCCAACACCTGAAATTACGAGTGCACAATGACGGTATTTTTTTCCTTTCTATCCGTTGTGACGTGATATTTTTTTTTTACCTGGAATATTACCACCAGTACCACCAATGCCTGGTAAGCTTGGTATCTGTGCCCCTCCACCTGGGAAATTTGGAATGTGACCGCCAATCCCTGGAAATCCTGGTAATTGACCTCCACCGGAGCCACCGGGATATTGTGGGAAGCCGCCGCTACCTGTCGAGCCTCCACCAGTGCCCCAAGGAGTTCCAGTACCTAAAATGATGGTCCATAAATCTCTTGACGATTTTCCTCAACTTCTCGATCTTGACCAACCTTGCGAGGATCCTCCCCCCGAGCCTGATCCCCCCTGCAATCCACTACCGCCGGTCCAAGACCCAGCCCACGGCAATTGTGAGAAGAATCCGGTCAAGTTCTTCTTATTATTTGAATCTCCACTGAAAAAACTACCGAAATTCGGAATTTTGCTGAATAAATTTCCGAAGACGCTTTCAAGATCAGCAAATGCTGGTAATCGAGGCTGGAATTGCTTGAGCGTCGGCCACGTTGAGTACTTGGTGCAGAATAAATAATTGTGCTCTTGAATGCATTTTACGGTTTTGTCAACGAATTCTTCACGATAAGCAACTGGAACTAGCTGCTGGGCCATCTGAAGTGAAGCAAGTTGCTCTGGTGTAATGGAGCTGGTATCGGGGAGTGCATATATTTCTGCAGCTGCTTGATGCCGGGGTTGTTCCTCAACAGTATTCCTCAGGAGTTGAAAAATAATGGTCTCCGGGCGTGGTGTCCTGTGAATGAAGCCATCAGCTTCGATAACCTCCGGCAGCTGTCCATTATTGTCAGATAAATCGGGAAAGGGAATGATTGGATAACCTGGATAAACGCTGATGGTTGATGGATACCAGGTCTGATAATCTGGGAAGTCAGGCAAGGCTGTGTAATACTGCTTGACCATTGGCCAGGTAAAGTATTTGACACAGCTGAAGTATTCAAATCTCCTCACACATGAGTGCATCTTACTTGAATACTCCTGACGTACGGACTCTGGCAAGAACTTCTCTGCCATCTTGAGTATGTCCAGCTGTCCAGGAGTTAACAATTTAGCGAAATTCTCAGGGTCAATTTGGGTTGGTATATTTTCATCGTGAGGGTCGACAGCCAAGGCGTCCTTCAGTATATTAGCAACAACGGTTTCAGGCATGAGCAGTCGTTGCTGATGGACTCCACGGATGTTCTTGGGTTCGTCTCCTTGTCGATTTGGTATAAAATCACTCAGAGACACCTCAATAGGCAATGCCGGAAAATTCTGCACTATGCGTTCAGGTACATTCTCAGCAATGATCGGCCAGATGTATATTCTCATGCAATTGAGGATATTTAAGCCTCTCATGCATTCGAAAAAATTCTCCGCGAAGCTCTGCCGCTGTTTTTCTGCGACCAATCCTTCAGCGCACTTGATTACCTCCAGTTGTTTATCATTCAACATCGAAGTGTTCAAGTTCTTAATGTGAGACTCTTCTGAGCCTAAAGATTTCGTCGAGGCGATGGTTTTCAACGCCTCCAGTAATTGATTCTCAGTGAATTTAGGAATATCAGGGAGAACCTCGCTCACTTGTTCCTTCAGATATTTAAAAAATGTCCGGTTCTTCAATTGATTCTGAATCGTCAACGCCTGCAGCTTCCATTTTTGGACAATAGACTCACTTTCTTTCTCCGCCTCCTTCTTCTCACTACTCCGTTCACTCCGAATGTCATCTTCCTCATCATCATCAATTTTCTCATCTTCCACAACATCCAGCGATTTCCTAGCCGTTTCCGTACCCCCAAAATGAGGTTCATACGGACCGGCATGATCGATCTTGACAGGAATCAGCTCCGGAATCTGGCGAATTTGAATCCCTTCGTTCCGTTCTCTGCTTTCCTTCGTTTCACTGTTACCGATCTCTCCTTGAACCTCATGTTTTGGATCTAGGATTGCCTGTCCCTCGACCGCATCTAGCTTTCCTTCAATGGATCGCTTCTGGTGAGCCACATCATCGGATTCAACTTCCACCACCTTATCTTCATCATTCGAGCCTTGGTCCTGCTGGTCCTTCTCTGAATCTTCTACGACTGCATCAAATCTCCTGATTCCTTCCTCGCTACCACCAGAATCCAACTTACCCCCAATATCAGCAATGATCTGGTCCTTCTGCTCCTCCAATTTCTTATCAATCACTCCCGCATCATCGCTGATGCTTCTGGATGACACGCGAACAATCAGAAATACTATCGGAATGAGAATACGAACAGAGTTGAATGCTCTCATGGTCGCGGTCGCGAAGCGAATGTCTCGGACACTCGACGAAAGATGCCGAGCAACCCCTCGTCTATGGGCATAACCGTGAGAGTACACGGGGAATAACCCACACACATAATGGAAACACGTTCATGGTTGTAGAAGGGGCAAGCCATTGGCATTTCCATTTTTGCAGTACATCTGGATCTTCAGGGTTGTCGAGAGGCAGGTTCATGGCCTAGCGTCATCATTTATGGAGGATACAAGAGCTACAAGAGTCTGATAATGGCGCTTGTTTTTACCTGATCATCGATTTCTTCATGGCATTCAACGAGAATTATTTGGAATTGAGATTAAATAAATAGCGAGACATATCAGAATAAATTCTCCGAAAGCGTCTCGTAATTTCTTCGGTGGGGGATGATTTTTTTTTACGCCCTTGAAATTATTTCTTATTATTTCTTCGTCTCGCACTGCAGGAATCTTGAATCTCTCTCGATTTTATTCCCATCTTCGTGAACTTATTTAGTATGATGCCTTCAATCCATTGACTTGTTCGTTTAATTTTCCAGGAGAGGCAAACCTGTATTCAATGTGTTTAAAGAGCATTCCTCTCTTTTGTAGATCGAAGACCCAGTATTTATCATACCATTCTTAGCACACCGTTATTTTTTTTTCAATCTTACAATAGTTTTTAGGCACAATTAATATATAAGGTTTTTCAGTCTGGACTCGAGCGGATCTAACGGATTACTACAGAAAAAAAAACTCCATTCTTTTCCGCAGAATGAAGTGCTCAGCCTGAATTTATTTTCTTCAATTATCCAAATGGATAAAATGGTTCTTGACACGAATTACAAGCGGCATCCAACAATATTCCCTGCAATCTAGTTAGGGACTTCTTGATAATCACAGGTCTAGGAAAAACTTGCCCCTTGAGATCTTCACGTAACTACACCTTTTTCATCCACACATTCTCGGTAAATTTATTTGCGCCATCCAAAGTAATAATCTCCTACTTCCAATTACAACGGTAACAAAGCAGGTTACGGTCACGGATTATTATTGGTAGAGATAATTATTGGTGGAGATGTATAATATTTTGAAACGTTAAATTTAATTGTCAATGAATTTTGAAATGCACCGGGATCGTTGGAGTGTGTCTCATCGGTCTCGTCGGTTGGTTACGGGTAGGAGATACCTCGCATGCGGAACTCAACCAATAAGAGCTCACCACCCACCACCCAGACCTTTCGCGCGGTTCCTTTTAATGCTTCACCAAGTCAAAGTCAAGTTCAAATTGGCCTCCGAACGTACCGAATAAGCCTCCAAAAAGTATTTCACCGATTGTCTCGATCGGCATCGATTCCCTCGATTCTCTCTCATTTGTCACCAAGTTATAGTTTCCCGTTAATTTCATCGGTCAGGGTTTGTTGATTATCGATTGTCATACCTTTGCGAACTGCGAAGTTACAGTAAAAAGTGAAAGATGAAACGATTTCATTGGTGCATAGTTGGAATTCTCTTGGTGGGATCTACAGTGTCAACAGCAGACGATGGATTTCAAGTGGAAAAAATTGCCAAGGACACCAGCACCAGTCAACTGGTCACCAATCTCATCGATTTCATCTTCGGTCACAGTATTAGCTCTCAAGGTCGGACGAATGTGCATTACTTATTCACCGAGGGTTTAATGACCTTAAAGAAATTTTCTCCGCAGGTCGTACTTTTGGGATGAAAAGGATACAATTCATGCTCATGCCGATGATGTACAAAATGGGAATGATGACGACTCTTCTAGTGGTTCTCACAGTGATATCCCTGAAGGGATTAATGATCGGTGAGTGCTCCGAATAATTCCCTCTCATCACCAGTGGAAACTGTACGCTCCGAGGATAAAATTCTAACGGTTAATCCCCAAATGTAGTACGACAATCAGAATGACACAGATCAGTCATTCAAGAGTGACCAAAATATTCGGATAATTTGATCGGTGAATAGAAGTAGTCGGCAACCCACGTGATTTGAATAATTTGTGAGGCTTGACACAATTCCAAATGCTGAATGCAAAATAACTTTCCGTAATGACATTCTGTCACGTATCGAGGGACCACGTGTAACAATAATCCCGAAATTGCTTTACCGTTAGACTTTCCCGAGGATCTCCCCCCTTGCATAAGCTGATAAAGTAGATAACTGCCCGGTGTACCATGAAGACCCGTTTTTGATTGCAGGTATAATGCTATTGGTCCTGAAGTTGAGTGCTTTCTTGGGGAAATTCTACTCGGCGATGTCATCGCATCATCAAGTCGCATGGTCACCACCAGCACCACCAGTTTATGTACATGTTCATGGGGGACATCATCAACAACCCCAATGGACATCGCACTATGAACCCAATCCTTGGGAGTCAGCTAGCAATCCTGGAGATGAACACTATCATTACAAAGGATAGCTTGTCTAATCTCTTTGCTCTCAATTAGATAAATTCTCATCAACCAGATTGGCATTCGCAATTGTTGACAACAATTGCCGAGTGGCAATGATAATGGCCATAATTTTCAATTTGCGCAAGTAGGTTCATCGTAATACGTGTGCCTCAGGGGAACCAATGGTCACATGCTCATTGATTTAGTATTAGAAGACCAAAAGGATCGACCAAAACTCACGTATTTATTCTGTAAAATATTTGTACAATGAATACTATTAATTTTTTATCGGTTGTTGTTTTTTACTCCTTCTGATCTCCTGAGGATCTAATACATAATGAGGGGTAAGTTTAGCGGTGTATTTACTATCTCACCGAGAATTCAAGGTTGACTGACAGACCGGAAGCTCCAGACGGTCACTAACACTCATTGCGTGCACACCGAGTTGCTTGGATACTTGCTCCATAGAAATTGCACTCACCTTGCAATTGAGACCCACTTTATTATGGTGGGGTATGATGATAAACTCTAGGCTTGACCACTCAAGATCAGTCTTAATGCAACCGCAGAGATTGTGAAGAATTCCCATAGTCTTGTTTATCTACTTATCCATCGTAAATGTTGGGAAAAATATGAGAGCTATAACAGTGGAGTCGCGTGTTTACTTGTGGGTTTACACGTTGGTGTGGTCAGTGTTTATCGCCCGGGGTCAAATACCCGCGGAGAATGATTCTGTAATTCATATTCTACCCGGCATTAAGCTCACAGCCATCGAGGATGGAGTGACTATTAAGATCGATGGTCAACCATTCTGGGGAGGTAATTATTCATTCATGAGGATGAATATCATCATTTTAATTCATACGAACGGTGTTTAGTTGGTAGAACAGGGAGTCATGGTAATAATACACCATCTGGATCAACGCAGAAGCGGCCGACGATTCTCCAGAGGCTTGGCGCCATGATGATGCTGGTGCCTCTGGTGATGCAGGTATTACTTATTCATTATGTCATGACTGTTCACCCAAATTACTCATGATTTAATTGTTCTTAGCTACTCTCGTTGCCCGGTGCGCTTGCATCGATCAAGCTATCGCTTTTGAAGAGTTTAATCGTTGGGAAGGTGGCACTTGTCATCATGCTGTTCAACTTGTTGAAGAGTTTACGACCTCCTGAGGTCGTCGTGGTACATCAGCCACCACCTGTTCACTATGATCACTACTATTCACCATATGAGGACGACGGGGGTGACAAGGGCTGGTTCACCTGATCACGCTTGTGCGATACATCTCTGTTGTTGATATTTTTTTTTTAATAAAATGAGAATTGTGAAATTTGGTGTTTCGCGTAGTATCTTTTTTTTTAATCGCTGACTCACGGTATGTGTGAGGCGATTGCTGACCGCCCGACAGCTGGCGGGAGATGTCCCACTTTTTCGATGTTAACGGCATCTCGGTCCAGATTACCTGCTGAACCAGTCCAACAGTCAATATCACTTGGAATTTCTCTCTCGTTAAAATGATAGAGTGAAAATGAAATCACTCGTTGTAATACTCTCCATCATGGAGTAGTCATCGAGAATTTGACTTTGGGGGATAGCAATGACGGATATAGAATTTTTTAATGTCCAGAAGAGTCCAGGTGTTGATGAATGAAAGGTTGTCGTCCACTTAGCAGGTAGATCGTTATTTAGAGAGCGATCGACATCTCCGAGCACCTGTAATTCTTCATTATATCATTTTAACCGTTAGATTTCGAGTTCTACGAAATCTCTTGATATTCTCGTTCGATTTTTAATTTTGGGGAGTCGACGCATGATCTCAATCATTTGGATATCGGGAAATTGACCGGAATAGAATTTTTTTTTCACACTGATTCATCGACGATTCTCACTGCGTACGCGCTCCACAAACCTGACTCTATTGTTTTGTCGGGTGCTCATCGAATTTCTCACATGGTTGAGGTGCATCGTATCAGTGATTGGATTTTTGATCGGGCATTGTTGGAAATGTATAGCGAAATCTAATTGTCCACTTGGGAATGAGGGAATAACGGTGGATTATTTTTAATGACGGGTTTAATATATTTTATATCATGGAAATTTGGGTGTGGGCACATCATTTGTATGGGCCCATGGCCGGGATTCCACGGCCTATAGTCCACCTAATTTCAGAATTGAGAAATTCTTGAAAAAAATCATTGATCATCGTGAGTTGATATTTATTTAAGCCTGATTTCACTTCGGAGAATACGAGAAAATGGCAGATATCAGTGAGACTATGGAAATAATGCGATGAATTGTAAAATATATACACGTGGCATTGGCAAAAAGTATTTCAGGAGAAAACACAGCGATAGATTCTGGTTAACTTCAATCAGAATTTCGCGGGTAATGATCGTCAGCCAGATGCTTGTAGAAAATATAATTAAATCTCAGGAAATATCAATTGACGGGGATATATTACGGGAATAATTTCAACCTTCCGTTTGATTTCCCTCGCGATGTCACGCGTGAGAATGATTGATGTGTTGTGACGAGTGAATCGATTATGTCCAAACTGTCATTCCGAGTAATTGTTGCTTGGACAGATATTCCAATATTTTTTCATTGCAACAGGTCCCTGGCAATTTCATAGAATCACTCTATTCCAAATTATTTAATTTAATGCAGTGCAGATTTAAAAAAAAATCATCACTGATTCTCTCGTCCACGAGAATGACTGAGGGCATCGACTAGAAAGCGAAAAGGCATCAGCATTCGGTGGAGTGGGGAATAATTATTTAGATTTCGGGCTTTAAAGACCCAGTTATTGTTCCACCCATTTCCGTATACTGCAAGAAGAATATCAAATTTGTAGAGAAGGGATACGAGCCGTTTCTCATTGGCGGATTGTATATCCCAGCGTGTATACGACCGAAACAAACACCAATATGCACCGTCCCACCGGCTTCTTCGGGATAAATAAGAAGGACCGACTGGGAATTAAAAACTTCTGTTGGTCTTGTGTCACGCATTAGTTGATCGGTTCTGGTGTTATCTGGTGGTCCGAGTGTCAGAGATTGTGAGGATTGAGATGTCAGGGCTACTTGCTGTTGGGCTGATTGCCCTCATGACAGTGTCTGTGAGATCAGAGGGAATTCTGGATTGTCTTTATCAAGATGACAGCCTTGAGTGTGGGAGGAAGACCGCGGATGCGGCTCTTGATAAGATAGAGCTGGAGGCAACAGGGAGGAAAAGTCCCCCGAGCTTCAGCGAAGCCATCGAGGAAACTGCTGGACTCTTTGTTGAGGGTGTGCAGACCATTCTTGGAACTGATGCTGATCCTGCTGAGAGACAAGTTGACACTGGCAATCGTACGTTATTTTTCTTCAGATACTTCCTCTTGAATAGAAATCCACTGATCACAGGGACAAACTCAAGGAATTATCTCTCGATAATTTCTCGATACATGATTTGTCACTTGTAATTATTAATAAGTAGCCCAGAAAAATTACTTGCAGAATCTTTTTATTTCTGGGTCGAATTTCAATGTTGCGGCCTCATCGATTCCATTTATGCTCTTAACCAGGGTCATTACTGTCAATTATGAAAAATAATCACCTATAAAATTAATACTCTCGATGCGGTGAGACAAAAGAATACAAAAGAACCGGTAAAAATAGCCGGAAGTGGTTGATCTTTGGTTCTTTTACGATGTACGAGTGCTAAAAGTCAGTGGAAATTGGTTCAAGTTTAAGAGAAAGCACTCGGGACGCGTGCCAAATTATATCTCATTACACAATCACCGGGGAAAAAAATCGCTAACAATACGGAATAACGTATAATTTTTCTGTCCAGGTGAAGCCAGGCTCAAGCTGTTCCTCAAGAAGAAGAAGAAGTTGGTGAAATTCAAGAAGCTGATGTTGAAGATGATTCCCTTCATCATGCTGATGAAAGCGAAAATTTCGCTGATGCTCCAGATGATCTCCACGCACTTCCAATCCAAGTTCTTCATAATCGGTATCATCAGCATCCTCATCAACGGGGCTAGACTCTTCCTGGAGCTCAAGAAGAATCACAATCCTGGCAAGGTCATCTATTACTCGAGTGCCGAGCATCAGCATCATTATGATCATGATGACGAGGGGAACTGGAGGCGATCCGTTGAGAATGTTGGATTTAATCCACAAGAGAAAGCCTATAGCGCTCACTTGCCTAACTATTAATACCAATTGCCGACTGATGACAATTATTTCTATTATTTCTATAATCATGTGTACATATTTTACGAAGATAAATGATCGAGGAATGTCTGCCCAACTGATCATGGTGATATCGATAATGTCCCACTTTTTTATGTGGAAAATTGATATTCCACGTGAGTTACCTATCGAATTCGAACAACCGTTACGCTAATGGCATTTCCACTCGGTCAAAATTAGTGTCAATTAATATTTTCGGTTTCCCAATCCAATACCACGAGATTCTCAATCGGTTATTTTATGGTAATATTTATTGTAGTTATTTATTGTAGAAACTTTTTGAATAAATATTTATTAGAAAAAGGTGTATGTGTGTTAATATTTGAATTTTTCATCGCTTTCCCGATGACCTGACCTGAATTAGGGAATAATCAGGCTTATTAACAGCATTATTATTCACAGAATACATCAATACGTATTTCAATTAAAATACCACTAGGGCCTGTTCTCATTTATTTCTAATTAAATTGTATATCGCGCCGACTAATTTGGCTGATTTGAAGCCGGAAAATTAGGAAGCGACGGATCAAGTTGAATAGAATTATCATCTGAGATCAGCAGAAAAAATTTCGTATAAATAATTATTTGTAATTCATGGTGAATGCCCTAGCGAGTTGGGAATTCATCGTTGGTTTTCACAGATATTCGAAAAATTGACCTCCACACGCGATGACCTGCCCTCGGCTCTTATCTTGCGCTTCGGGAGAGAAAAAGAGAACATGTTTTCGGCAATGCACTATTGGCAATGCCCCAAGGTGCTGTTGTCTCATCCCGAGCGATAAATTAGCATTGGTCCTTGATGGTTGTACGCGTTGGATATTAAGAATGGGAGAGAAAGCCTCAACCAAAAATTCCACGGCATGCGTTTTTTGCATTGGATTGATGATGATGATGACAGACTGTCCTCTGATGGTCACTCGCTGAGACCAAACGTGATTACGTTTTTAATTCAACATTTGTGGGAATTGAACCATTCATACATGATTCAAAATCCTTCACGTGAGGTTCCTATATAACACCCTACTAGGGAACGAGCCACCAGTGTGTGCAGAATCTTCGGTGTTTTAACAAAGGAATTGTCGCCGACATGATTGTCTACGGTGTAATGACGGTCTGTGCTCTTGTCGTGGTTTTTGCTGATCAACAGGTTCCGAGGAAAATGAGACCCATTCCCGTATTCAGGGTGAGTTTCGTGATTGATATTCTGGTGAATCCATTGGTGATTTTTATTGATTTTCCGGTCATAAGGATTCACCACCGGCTGGACTTACATTACCGAACAATGCAACTGCCATTCGGGAGAATATCGTTGACACTTTCTCATGTGAAAACAGAATTTACGGATATTACGCCGATGTAGATAACGATTGTCAAATATTTCACGTCTGCATGCCCCAAAATAGGGGTGCAATAAGATGGAGTTTCATATGCCCTGAGAGCACGGTTTTTAATCAGGTACCGAGATTAATGTTAATGAATTAATTAGCTGGTAATTTTATTAAATAAATTTTCACGCTAGGCGACATTTGTCTGCACATGGGAAAACGATTCAATTCCTTGTGAGGAATCTGAGCAATATTATGGCCTCAATGAGGAATTCGGTAAGGAGGAGCCACAGGAACCGGAAGGTACGGAAAATCCTCAGAGCCCAGAGGAGGCGACTTACAACCCTGAGGAATATCCACCAAACAATGAAGTACCAGTGACTCCATTCTATGGCAACACTCGGGGAAGGGGTAAAAAAAATCGCGGTGGCAAAAGTTATTCCTCAGAAGGAACAACAAAATTTCCTTCATCAACAGAAAACAATGACGAATAATTGGCATAAATTTATTCTTCACACATAATTTCACATATTCTAATTAATCTCGCGTTAAATCGTCCAGGTAATACTGTTCACCAAGAAAGCAAAAGCAGATAACTTACACAATGTCCCAATGCCTCTGGATATGTACAATAATTTTTCAATTAATCAATCAATAGATGTAAATAAAATATCAGATTGTATGTACAATAAATTGATATGTCTGCGATAATTGGTTGAAAACGAAAGGCCATTTCATTTTCATTAAATAGTTATTTAATTTCAAGCGTGTACCTCTGTAAAATAATAATCCGGCAGTTAGCAAAGTAAATTGAAGGAAGAGTTCGAGAGTTTGATGACTCTCTGTAATCAGTATCTTTGGATAACTAGCCATTCGTGTTCAGAGACACATCTGCTTCTTCGTCGAAAAAAAAAAAAAAATACAAGTTGGAATGAATAAATGGAGAATATTTCTACAAGAATATTTACAGGGAATAAAATCTCGAGGTGATTCAGTAGTGGAGGACTAAATAAATTTTTCTTCCAGCACATGAATTAAATCTCATTGCACACCTTCACTGCTGAATCAGTCATAATAAAAATTTCATATTCACATGTACATAATATCTGATGAGAGTAGGCTTTCCCAATATTTTTAAGCTTCTGAGTCTCTCGCCAGATCGGTCTCGATTTCATCGGGTGTTCGTAAATCGATGGCAAATCGTTTCTTCACATTGACCGATGTGTCCTCAGCCTTTCCCAACGCCTTGACCATCTGTGAGTAAATTTGGAAGGCTGTGGCTAGAGCGTAGGTCAGCTGTCTGGCGTGATGCTTGGATTCACAGACAAATGCGTGACACTCGAAGGGTGAAATCTTGCGAAAATTGCCAGAATCCCTTACCACGATCATGGAGAATACCCTGGTGTAGACGAGATCCTGTACACCATAGGAAATTGTCTCGATGGTGTAGGTCTTGGCGATGGCAGGCTCTCCTTTGATTTTCCCCAGGGGAAGGAGAGCGACTCCATCCTTCGAGACGACGAGCTTCACCAGGGGCAGAATTGTATCAGTTGGCAGGGATTTAGCAGCTGCCACCATATTATCGACGGGTTTTCTCGTGTGCTTGATACCCCAGAGGCCTCTCGCATCGTGGGAGCCCAGGTACTTCACCTGGAACACCTGTGGCAGATCGTTCGAACCCTCGAACACGTTGTTGTCGATTGATAAACGCGATAACTTCGAGATAACCGTTTTCTCACGAGAGGAGAGGGGTGTCGAGATGTCGGTGCGCATTTCAATATTCTGTTTCTATAAATAATAAATTGACAAACCATAATTATTCAACTTGAACTCATCTATTCACAAAGTCACACAATTTATGATTAAAATACACTCATGAGATAATAGATCTGAATCTAAGAGAGATAGCGCAATTCACTCGGAGATCTTTTTTGTAGAGTGGAGTAAGAGCTTGAATAACGGTCTCTATAAAAATTGTGGTATGGCCGTTAGATTCAGAGATATTTATTGGATTTAATCGAATAAGGTATTCAATGATCGGCTGAATGTGGAAATGATGAGTTGACTCACGTTGGGATTTCTCTTAGCACCGGAGGACTGAACTTTGAGGTGATACTCGACGACGTTGGGTATGTCCGGAGTTTCTCGAGCGACTGAGGATCCAGAGGACTCGTTGCGCTGACTGTGGGCCAGCCGGTGGCTTCCTGTTTCCGGTGACGTTGTGCCTCCCTCAGCCACGCCTTTTGTTCCATCCCCAACGAGAAAGGCCCTAGGGTTGCCCACACTCCGCTCATCCACCTCCTGCTCCTCACTCTTCACCAATTTTTTAACACGATTCAGGGCCTTATCATTGCGCCTCGTGAAACCAAATTCATCATCCTCCATTGCATCGATCAACTACAACCATCACAATTAAATCGAAATAACGTCTGTTGATAATTATCTCAACTGGCAAATCCTCTAGTTACATAAGTCAATTGTCTTCGTGGCGCTTGCACCGTGTAATTACATATATTTTTTTTTTCCTCTTACCTGGACATGATAATTAGAATTGAAAGCCAAATGTTTAAATCCCGGTGCCATGGGATAGGATTTAACACTAGGATTAATCGAGGCGTCAAGTGGTCACCTGGGCAACGTACATTGAATATGTAATGAGTATTTTAATTCTCGTATGAACCTGCCAACTCTACCTGGCCCCCACGACTCCTGCACCTGACTCACTTCCTGTCCACGATATACCCACACCCTAGACTCCCCTCATCCGGATATTATGTGGGTAAAGAGAATTTTTTAAATGCCCATGTGATTCCATCTCAACTGACAATCAGAAACGGTTCGGAAAGTACTGGAATTTTTTTTTTGTATTTATCCTAGGGTTTTTGTCTGTCAAGTGAATATCAGTCGTTGGTCAATCAATAGTTAATGAATTGTTAATCAATTAGTTAATGGTGGATGAATCGTGTGAGTGTGGAAAGTTCTTTTAAACTTGTTTAGTCTGAGATATTTTCGCTTCCAACGGACTCTGTGGGGTTTAGGGTATGTCCAGCTCATTGGCCCCTTTGGAGTGAAAAAAAAAACGGGGATGAGGTCAGGTGCAAGGTGCGGAGAGCACGTGCGCTCTGCTCGACAGCTGTTTTCCGGTACCTAAGACGACGAAATCACCCTGTTGCCTATTTTTACTCTTGCAGCCCGAATTTAATCCCCAATCCTCGAATTTCAGTGATTAAAATAAGGAAATGATCATTTCATTTTATTGGTTAAGCCGTTGATTGCAGGCAATGATGATCTACGATAATATCGTGACGTCATTATTGTGATAAAGAATTTCATGCTTTTGATATCTGGTGAGAAGAAGGAAAGGGTAACGTGTCGACTAGTTCTCTAGTCTAGTTTTCGAGGAATATCTCGGGATCTAAGAGAGATAGCGAAATTTTTCTCAAAACCTGTTTCGTCGAGTGAAGTGAGAGCTACAAAAAAGGTTCTAACAAAAATTCACTATCTCCCCCGGTTTCCGAGATATTTACCTCTTTCCTACAGCTATTTATTTATTCATTGAAATAATACGAAAACTGATTAATCCGCTATTTTTAACCGGAAGTGGAAGAAAGCCCGACGCGTTATTCGTCGAAAAAAAAGGAGGGATACGATGAAAAATAAAGGTAACGAGCGTGTGCCATCGGGCGTGACAGTATTTTCGCATTGGGGGGTTTAAAATACGAATCCTTCTGTTTTTTTATTGTATTTTCTCTATTGTCAGAACTGCGTTTAATTTATACCCGTCACTATTTCCGATGCGAGAGTATCACGCACATATGATATTTACCTTTTCATTCTCGATCGTCCGAATCGACGACGAGTGAGTAACAATAAAGAGAAATGACGAGTTATGGAGACAATTGACCGGGATGCAGGAAGTGACGCTTATAAACAGTGTTTATAACAAACGGTTGGGCAGGAAGTACCTCGGGTACTGTAACGTCCAAAATCACTCGGGCGTGCACCAAATAAAACATCAAACTAAATAAGCGACAACTGAAAATGCGAATTTACCCATTTCCGTAACCTTGAGCCTATCACACCACCCACCCACCCACAATTTATCAACTATTTACTCACCAGGTGCTTTTAATTCAATTTGCATAAGCACCTGTTGATAATTACCGATAAAAATTGGAATCAATCAAATAATTGAGACATTTCACTCGACACTATCAAAAGAATTGGTTGAAATATTTATTCCCTCGTGCTTAGACCCACCTGTTACACGAGTCCACTTCCGGGTGTTAATATATTCCGCTTTTTGCTGATCGGGGAATTAAATTTATGTGAGAAAAATAAAAAATATGGATTTGCGTGCGTCGCTCAGTGAGTCGCAACGGCCACTGCTGGCAAATGTGGAACACTTTGAGCACTGGCAGTCTGATTCGAAATGAAAAAAAAAAAAAAGTAACTCCTGACTCTGTGTCACTGATAAACGGTTTTATACCGGTGTATGTTGCCGTGTGATTGCGACGAGTCGTAAAACATTTTCGAGATTAGGTGTTACTGAATTACCTAAGTCGATTCAGTTTCTCGGTGACGATATATTTGCACTGCAGAATGATCATCTACAGGGAAAATTTACATAGTGAAATCATAATTGCTCGTGGGGATGACGAAATTTCAAAATTTTTTATTGTTCCCGTGATTACATTTTTTTTTAAAACAGAATGCGCCATTTTTGTTTCTCGTATTTTAATTGGAAATTCACTTACCGTATTGTCCCCCCGAAATTTCTTCTCTATTCTCGGATTATCCAACACCCTTTTTAATTACTTAATTAATTAGTTGATCATCATCACACGAACCACCACTCAACGCCAGGGAACATCTGGATATTTCCATAAATTTTCCCCGATGATTTCGCAATGCTCGTTATTTAATTTAACCCTCATAATTAATTATTTAATAGAGGAGCATTAACGAATCCCGAGCAAACGGATACGTGAGAAAATTCTGGGCGACAGGCATGACAGAAAAGATGTCTCGGAAGTCATGACCGTTACGACACGAATGGTCGTATGTAACAATTCCTCTCAAATTCTCAACAATTTCGCCTGAAATCATCCTTTCGTACAAGGAGATGAGCCTTTCAGTTTCTCGGAATGATTCATCGGAATCATCAGACATTCCAGTCGATTAAACTCAAAGACTAATCATTGCAACAATCATTATCTATAATTATGACATCTCGATGGAATTCAGTCATTTAATTTGACAGTTCTATTTCCTTCACTCAACAAATGATTTTCTTTATTCTCTCATATCGAATAATTATTTAATGATTATTTTCAATTTCTGAATTGACAGAATGATCTCAGAAGCAATTAGATTTTTCGGGATTTCCTCGATGTCCAATAAATTTTCCTGAAATAATTGGAAATTCAGTGGAAAATTCTTGACAGTATATAAGTGGTAGATGATGAGATTAAAATTGTTTGGTTTTGATGAACTCAACCGTAAAATCCTTGTCATAGATGTAAATCATCGCAACCAAAATTACAGGGCGTTTATATCAGCATTCGCGATCATCAAGGTCGTAGAAGAGTGGATAAACAATTAGTATCCTTATTAACGTTGAATGTAATCCCCGATGGATTGCATTTCGATAGAACGAGTGATGTGTTTTTTAAAAAATCATTGCCCCATCGGAAAAATTATCGCAATTCCGGGATCACTGTCATAATTTTAAAAATAATTTTCAAAAGTCACTGGAGCATTTGGTTTACCCAATAACGAACAATAGACTCGATTTGTCGAGTCATATGGCGATGATTTGGGTTCAGATATTGATGACTCGAGGAGATCGACTCTCATCCTCCAGTGACCTCTGACTTCGAGTATTACATCTTCATTTTTTTTTGTTGAACGATTCAACTTCAACGAGAGTGATTACGAAATGGGAACAGTCATCATCATCATACCAAAACAATTCAAAGACTTCACAGAATTTAGTTTACCGATGGCATCGCATGGCCAACGTTTCGGAGAAGGGGTGGGATCCACTTGTAAGAGGGGCTCTCAGAACATCCCCTCTTCTTCAATGTGTCTTCACTTCAGAGGCATATATATACTGGAGCATCTTGGAATTCAGAAGGAATCAGTGGTGATTTGTCAGGAATTCGATCTGCTAAATATTATTTTTTATTTTTTCATTGGATCCAGTTGAGCTGCGATAGATGACAGTTGAAATTTTAATTCGCTCAAGGTTTGATGAAGTGACTTTTGTGGTCGAAATTCAAATTTCAGAAGTGATTTTTTTCTCGATCTTTCATTTAATTTTTTTTTTGAAAAAAAATTTTTTTAGATGATTTCGCGGTTGATTTGGGTTCTTGTTATTTTTACTGCGGCCCTTGTGTACCAATCAACGATGGCGGTAAGTTGAAAGATTGTATTCGCCCTGGTTTTTGTAATTTACATGCAATCAAGGCATGTAATGTAAACATGAAATAATGTGAATGGGTGCAATTCGAGTGAGATATCTCACGATTTCGTAACCAGGACAATCCTATCGTGTACTTCATCGGTTTACCCACACCTAATTAATTAATTGAATCCTACGCGCTCGGAATTTCGTAAATTTTCACTTTTACCAACTTCTTCCCATGATTTTCTGTCACTCAGTAATTATCCCGTAATGTGGGTGAATCATCCCTTTCGATTGAAGAAAGAAAAACAATGAAAAAGAATATTTTTTCTGCCAATTAATTTTATGAAAAATCCAGAAAATGCATCAGTGGGATTATTAATTAAAAAATTGATTAGTAATCATTTCGGCAAATGGAAATTTCCGCGGAAAATTAGATGCTGAAGAGGAATTATGAAATATTGCGGCGGGTGTTAGACAAAGGAAGGGCCAGGATCGTAAAAAAATAGAGGAGTTAGTCGTGTATGAAGACTGCGCAATCCATTCATTTTCACCGGAAGGTGGATACGACAGGAGGAACAATAAAGTTGCTCCAATCGAATCGCGATCAATGTTATCACACGTTGGATGATGAATCGGTAGAACGTAGAGTAATGAATAAAACTTGGATATCCGCTTAAAGAGCAATGTTTGTGATTCCGGTCACTCCATCACTCCGGATGTTCCTGAATCGATGAACTTCAAATTTCCCGAGTAATTTCCACAGGGACAGAATTTTTTTTATCTCGAAATGATTAAAAAAAATCGTCTCAAATGGTTTCTCCGCTTAAGGAGAATGAATTAACCAAAAAGGGCTTTATCTTTCTAATTGTTACAGCAAGTCGATGGATATCGTCCAGGAGTGGATTACCCCATCTACAATTCCGTTCCTTTCGGTCTTACTTTCAACTGCAGAGGGAAATTACCCGGATATTATGCGGATCCTGAGGCGAGATGTCAGGTCTGGCACTGGTGCCTTCCCAGTGGTCGAATGTTCAGCTTTTTGTGTCCCAATGGAACTGTCTTCAGTCAGACAACTAGAGTCTGTGACTGGTGGTTCAAGGTTGACATTATATATTTCCACGAATTATGAATTTACCGGAGAGTTAGAAATCAGAAATCGAAATTTATTTCGCGTTCGGTTGTTTAATTAATTTTTTATTGCGATTACCAGGTGGACTGCAATGAATCACCGAGACTCTATGGAATCAATGACGATTTGTACAGAGATGCCAATGGAAACCGGATATGAATTATGATACGTCGACACTTATTTATGCACTCAATAAAAATATGAAAACTCGAGGAATTGTGATATTTTATCCACTTGAATCGGGGAATTTATCAACATAGATCGGTCGAATAGAAATCCCTATTATCCATCAGGTTAAATAAAACAAACAATAACAATTGACTCATCTGACACTTTATTTGACTAAAAACGTTGAAAATACAAAATTCATCACTTATCCCACATAAATCTATATATTACATGTCCTCATGTCATTGAATAATTCAAAAATCTATTTTTCATCCAATTTTATTCACCAGAACCATTAACCATTAAAAAATAAGGCTGGAGGAAAAAACAGAAGCGAACAACAATAAAACATTAATTAACAAACAAAAAAATTTTCTTAACAATCTACAAGATATTGCGAATGATATCAATCAACGTGAGATGCTGAACAATGGAAAAGAAACTTTACCTTTTCAATACAATTTTACTTGATTCGAGAAAAAATAATCATTTATTTTGTACAGAGAATTAAATATTTGTGACTCTCTTGAACAATTTTATCTCATCTACTTATCAATTATCTCTTTAGTCTGAGGTTGAACCGATGGAGTGGGTACTTATTCCAAATGGTATTGAGCAATCATGATTTCATTGAAAAGAGAATTGAGTACAGAAAAGGTAAACGTCCCTTCTGACTCTCGATTCTCAAATTTTTTTAATTATCAAATTACCTTTTGAACTTTATGAATTTATTTCCCGGATACCAGAGACCTTGAGTCTTCCATCTGGAATGACGAGAGTTCCTTAAAATATTTGATAAAGCGTTCCTTTAGGCCCACATGCAGCGAATTCTGCTGAATTAACACCTGAAATTTCTCCCGTTCTTATCACCAAGAGCATCACATTTTCCTCTGACGATAGCGTTGAACGAGTGATATGAGGCCTTGGGCTACGAATGGCCACGTGATCATCAGGACAAATATTCGAGGAGAGCAGTCCCTGAGTGGCCACCACTTGGGATAAATGCTTGGACATTCCTAAAAAGTTCAACCATTAGATTTGATACTTTCATTGGAAAATTGTCTGAACAATTTGGAGTCTCACATGCTGTGGTGCTAACGCTTGCAATGCCCTTCCCTCCAATCCCCTCACCCTCCCAGTTATCCTATCCAAATCCCTCTGAAGATTCTGCATGGTAACAGCGATGTGACTGAGAAACTCGGCATTATCCTTCTTCTCCCTCGAGCGTCCTCTCTCCTGACTGCACTTGATCTCCTCAACGTCATTTTTATACCCATTCGTGAGACTTTTCGATACCTTCCCATTACCCTGCCCCAGAGACTTTGTCACTGTTCTCTCAGGTGCTATCTGAAAAAAAAACGTCGCGTTTGAAAAAAAAAACACCGATGACTTATGCATTGAAATGACAGTCACTCTGAATTGCGTAAAACATTGTCGCCACTGGTGGTTTGGACGGTGGAAAATTACCTCGACCGTGTCTTTAAATTCCTCATCCTCACCATCAGTGTCAGGTGGGAGAGGACTAGCACTGTGACTACTTGCTGGGCTAGTCTCCAAACTGCTCGTTATGTGTCTCGATGGGTTTCTCACTCTCTGAGGTGATGTCTCCCTCGATCCTGATTGAATAAAATAATTAATCTGATTGGATTGACACGAATCTGGCAATTAATCGGGTTTTTACCAAGAGGGGAACCAGAGAGTGGAGAGCCTGGTTGTGATCTCATTCTCTCGATAACTGGTCCCACCAATAGTTCAAGGTCCTCAGCCGGAACACTCTCGTAAAATGCATCGAGACTACCCAAGAATGTCGCTACGTTGTCCGTGTAGGACATTGTCTCGACAATTTTTTTCAATTCATCGACGTAATTGTTCATCGCCTCTTGGCGACTCATGTTTCCCAGCCTCATCCATGCGTCCCATTTTGCTTTTTTCACAACTTCCCAAAAGGCGGGTTTCGACTGCTGACAGGGACCCTCTGTTGCCTGTTTATAGTAGCCGTAAAAACGCAGCTGGAGCTCATGACTTGGTTGATAAGCACCTGAAGATTTATCAGTGATGAGACCAAAATATTGATTTCAGACAAACTGAAATTCCGTAGATACTCATTGTTTCTTATTTTAGCTAATTATTCATGAATTAAAATGAATGTAAAATGGAAAAAATTGTTCGATACAACAAAAACGTCGTGAATCATTGATTGATTCGTTTTAGTCTCAACTAAAAAATTTACGAGTGAGAGAATTAAAATTTCTAATTTACACGAAACAAATCAAAGTTCATGACCAATTTTTTTTCAGTCTGAAATAATTCCCCGTGTAAGAATGAATCTCCTCGATAAATCAAATGCTCGGTCCTGAAATCTTTGTTAAAAGTGAGAATGTGAAAGTGTTAATCCAATTTTTTACACTCATCAGAGCCCGACCAGACGTATCCTCGTCGTCACTCTCACTTTCGAAATTTCACGCTGTAGCGAATAACATGAGCAAAAGGTAACTGTCAGTTGCTGGATGATCAGATGGGCCAAGATATGACAGACATGTAAAAACCCCCAGCCCCCAGTGAGAAAATCTAATGTGAAATCATGTGTCCCCACAGACAAAAAACTCATCAATAATTAAATAACTAGATTCCTGACTCGAATGCATTAATAACATCACCTTCGGTGTCAAAAAAATCAACAAAAGATTTCGATGCACTAGAAATATTCTTTCCAAATTTCCCGACAGCTGAGATAAATTTTTCCATAATTTCCAGTGGCCAAAAGATCATTCATTAGGTCATGTGGACTTTGTCACTAACGTCACAAATTAATTTCAAACCAAAAGATAATAACTCATCATCATGGCTCAGACCCTTTCCCCTCTCCATTAACAATTTGATAGTAGATAATTAAAAATAATAAACGTACCATTTTTTGGTAGACTCTTAATAACATTAACTGCAGCAACGAACTTTTCTTCGGTAGTCATACCTTTCCCTTCACTCAACAATATTAAAACCTTGTATTTACGTCTCACGTATTAAACTTGGAAAAATGAAAGAAAATAAAATTTAAGACACTCGACAGTTGCATTCACTTCAACAACACTCTTGCTGTACAGAACTAGTCCACCAGAGCTGTTAGGGGAGCACAACTAGCTCCGAACCGTGAGTCTAGGTACTAAATGAAAATGAATGAAAATAGGTGAGAATTATTTATTTCTATTTTTGTTTGTGGGAGGCTCGGCCAATCGTTATCGAGATCGTTTTCACTCCATCGAGGGCTCAAAAGTCATCTCGATGTTGATTGTGTGTTTATAAATGAATATGTGGAACACCAATACATTTTGGAAGAGACAGCGGTGACATCTGGAACCTCCATTGATGATAATGATGATGATGAGCAAGAATTTTCGGGAATTCATTGAATAATTTCATCTTTTATTTTCAATCAAATAAATATCAAAAATACATCTCAAAAATAAATTCAGTCATGTCTCTATTCCTTAAAACATACGTGGAATATATATTCTACTAATATATGATATAGAAATATATAAGAATAATATACTAACTTTTTCTGCAAATCGGCCAATTTTTAATGCTTGAATGTATATTTTTGTATTTCACATTTTTTCACTTAGCACTACCGAATTTTTCTGCAGTGAGCGGTTGTATTCATCGGTGGAATTTATCGGAGAATAATTCCACGTGAAATTTGAATTTTACCGCTATGAGCAGCGGAAAATGGCGGTCATAGGGACCCCGCAAATTGTTCATTACAACTAGTCGATTCTCTTACGGACAAAGTAACGCCGATAAACGGTACATTATTAACGTTATTCTCAATCTGAGTGAATGGTTGAGGTCATAAATCCGGTGTCATAAGTGAGCCGAGGTGTTCAAGGTAACCCAGTGCTATTGATTTCGTCATTACTCCAATCAACTCCGATATTATAGATAACAACAAAGAACACGGGAGTAAATTTCAAGGGACGAGTACACGTAAAAATTCAGTGATTGCATTGTGGAATTTGATGGTTTAATGAGTGAAATTTTCTCTCAATTTAAACCATACCTGAATATTATGCATCCAAATAACAATTGGAATGCGCGTCGATATTGTGCCTGAGTTGATTTTAATGAGTCAACAATTCTGATGAATATTGATGAATTTACAAATTTTTTTGGATGACCAAAAATAGTGCGAATATTTTATTTAGATGATATGGGGATCGACAATTTTTTTGGAACACGAATGCAATTTTTTTGGAATGCGAATGCATTTTTTTTTGGGTTGTTTTGGAAGAAATTGGAATTGTGTTTATGGTTTCAGGATTCCTTGGATAATGACGACTGTTGGAAAAGGTCGAGGACGGGGTAGAAACACTGAGGAACCTACCCTGAGAAAACCTGAACCACCCTATTGGCCAAGAGATGAATTGATCGAAAGGATTCGAGGGATTGATATCAATGACGTGGCTACCATCAGGGACTCATCGAGTCCATTGTCTGAAATTGTTCGCGACCGGAATGACTTGAAAGACATCGCTAAACTTTACAATGAAGCACTGGAGGACAGAAGTTTTATCTCACACTTGCTGGCGATATTTGAGAATCCCAGCAACAATTTTCCGGCTTTTCTCACAATACTCCAGCCTGATTACGAAGATAGAGAGGATTTTTTCAAAAGATCGCCTTCTAGATTCCTGAATTTTGTATATTTAATGGGTGAGGTTCTCCAACGACCCTGTAAGTTCCTTCCCGGCCCCATGTACACTCTATTCATATCGGCGGTCATTAATTTATGTAAAATTTTACTGGAGTCCGGTGAGGAGGACGAAATTGAAGTTGTCATGAATCAAATTTGGCTCAACGGAGAAAGACTGAATGCAGCTCAACCCAAGGAGCTAGCAGAATTATTGAATCAAATCAAGGGTGTACTCATATCCAAGAATTTGAGCACTAGGTCAAGGGCAATGCTCTTGTACTCGATTGAAATTGCGCATAATAATTGCTCGACAGCGCTGGAAGCTGATCTACAAAAATTCTATGAATCAAATTTAGGAAAATCGACAATCGATGAATTACTGAATCGAAGGAATCTCGCGGCCATCAGTGAAGCTAGAAATTCCGAGCCGAGAATTCCAGAACTCAAAATTCCAGAAAGACGTGAGTATTTCTTTTTTTTTTATTTCTCAATATCAAATTTTCTGCACTTTTTTTGCGATGTTAACGATTTTTGAGGTGAAATTGTAATTTTGTTGACAGAATCTCCTCCTCGATTTAATCCCAATAAAAATCCGAAAAAAACAGAGGAGAAGGAGCCGCACAAGCATCCGCAACCTAATCAGGCACGGCCCCGTGCCATTCGAGGTTCAGGTGTCAATGGAAGTCGCGATGAGGAGAAAAAAAATACAAGGGATTCGTCTTCAAACTGGTCAGACGGAAAAAAAGGATGGGGTCATGACGATCGTTTTGAGAGAGACTACTAAAAGACTATTTCAAGCTCGCGACTTTTGACGATTCAGCACATAGCTTTACAATTAATTTAACATTTTTAAATTGTGAATGACATTTTTGTTCGTCCCGTACAATTGAAATATTAATTATGAAATATCGAATAAATCCTTAACAAATTAATTTTTCTGCTCGAGTGACATTTTTTAACATTCACTCCCCGAATTCCGTTGACTTTTCTCTAAGGCGAAAAATTTATTTAAAAATTATAATGCAAAACAATCTCGTATTTTAATTCAATTCCACGATACGTGAGGTCTGCACCATCGTTCACATTTTTCAAGATGTCGGTGGAGTGACAAGTGTGCTCTGAATGTTTTTAAAAATATAACAATAACACAGCTCTGTCAATAAACAACAACTTGATCCGACAAAATCATTGGTGGAAAAATCGGGGGCTTATCGACCTGAGGGAAGCTATCGTCATTGGGTGAGTAATATCAGACTCTTCTGACGAAACAACACGTATTGATTCACCGTGAAAAACCTTTTACGGTAAAAATCTAGGGCAGTAATGGAATTAATTTTAGAGTGATTCAAATCCTTCAATTCATCCTCTATAATCCCAAAGCAATTACTCGGGATATTTTTATTTGCAGTCGAAGAGGGAATTTTTTCGGATAAAATCGTCCAAACACTGGCATTATCAATGAGAGCACTCCGGACATGTCGTACACTGAACTGGAACATGGCTATCAGGTAAATAAACAAAAAAAAAGGTGGCCAACACCCGAGGTAATTTTTTTTTTTAATTAATTAATTTTTTGGCTTTATCAAGGATCTTCGGAGCACTGGTCGTCCAATATTCTACGTAGGTGATATCGGTGCTGTACCCCAGAATCTCGTGGGCGGAATACCGTCTGCAATCTACAGGTCATCCAAACGCGTATGTAGAATTCTACCCTAGCCACTAATTTCTTTTCCACATATTATCTGAAAATCCCGTCGAGCTTCTATTTGCGTTGAGACTTCAGTCAAAAAAAAAAATCTTGTTCAATGAATAAACGCTTTTATGTTCCGATAATTTTATTGACTTTCCTTATTAAAAATCAAAAAAATCACCCAGGAAATCGAAGCAATGATTCACTCGGTCGTTGGTGTGCAGTCAATCTGCCGTCTTCCTCACCCTAATTCTTTTCTAATTTTGTGCCAATGATATTTTTATCCCGAAAAATGAACGGTGGCGCTCTAGGAAGTGAGTTACGTCCTCAACTATCAGTGCTATCACATCCTTCCTCTGTCAAAAGTTTAATAAAGCCCTCGAGAACTCGTGGAAATTTTCCACCAGGTGCCATGAGAGAGAAAAACTGAAAATTCTGCTCGACTGACTTTTCTATTTTTCAATTTAACTCGCGTTTCGTGTCAATTTTAATTAGTTTTACGTGACTTGTCGATGGCTGGAGAGTGGTGGAAATTTTGGTACGTTTTCCACCAGCTCTGGGAGTGGATTATCCATAAATCCGAGAATATTCGCGACAGGGTGGGAGTTACTTGGTAATTGATCGAAGGATATCCGTGAATTATTATTGATTGGGGTGTTTAATGGGCCTCAATGTATTTTAGTGAAACTGAGGGACAGTTGAGGCCCACTGGGCTCAGGTGTCACGTCAGGTGGTGCCCTGGAGAGACACGTCACCGAGACAGCAGTAATTATCAGGACAATGACGTTATTTGGCAAATTATGGTATTTTTCGTTGCGAAAGTGTTGAAAAATAGAGTTCTCTAAAAATAGACTAATTATCTAGATAATTCAGTACTAACACAAGGAATATTCAAATTTCGCCGGGTGATCCTCTTTTAATCCAATCACAAAATTAAATAATTATTAATGAAAAGGTGAATGAATCGATTCACCGAATAGGTAAGTTTTCGGGGAAAATTATCAGAATCTGAGAGAGATGGGGAAATTTTTATAAAGACCTTTTTTGTATATCTCGTTCCACTCCACAAATGAGGTCCTGATAAAAATTTCGCTATCTCTCGTGGATTCCGAGATAATCCTGTAATTATTACATTTGATTTAATTGCGTAATTGGATTTTTATTTCTTGATGATATTGACAATATTGTTTTTATGATAACACCCATTGAAATTTAATTATCGGAGTTAATACGGATAAAGTAGAACCACAGTCTTTCAATGTCACGGTGTGCGTTGATAAGACGATTTGTCTCTCGGCTTATCTCTAGATTCTCAGCTTTATTCCGTGTACTCTTGATATTAGAGAGTTTGACCTGTGGAGTTATACAGGAATAATCGCGATCCCCCGATTCCCTCACATCTAAATCGAATTTTGCTCCCGTAGATATCCTTAATTCAGAAAAAAAATTCCCCAAGATAATCTCGAGATAATACCGATTGATACTAACGATCCCGGTCACCTACATCGGACAATGAGTGCCGAGTGTAAAAACAGTGATTACTTCGATTACTTCGAGGATATATGCACGACTGGATACTTGAGCCCTTATCACCAATCTCAACTCATGGTAAAACAAAGTATAGCAATAAAAAATGAAAAAAATCGATTGTACATTTTAAAATAGATAAATAACTCCTCAGACGATTTCGATTCGCCCTATCTCATTGAACATGTAATTATCTCTGACAATTAAACAAATTAAAAATTATCTATCAAATAATCCCGTCCACGATCGAGAATTGAGTGAAACGTGATTGACATTTACAAGAATGTTTGCGTCGGAACCGCTTAATGAATGATAATTTCGTCGTATTGTATACGCGTCACATGTTAATTTAATGAAGGCCTGCAACAAGGATAAATACAAATAGTGTCTCACAGTCAGTCTCCAACTCCACAGAAAAATAAAAAATAAATCACACTCTTCTATTTCATTTAAACTTCCTCTCGGTTAGTGAAGTTTTAATGAAGTCGTTCTTCTCAGGAATAAAAAGCGCTTGCGGAATCTCATTCAATAACGCGAGAAGGATGAAAATAGTCTCTGAGGAGAGAGACACACGTCATATGGCAATGTGATTGGAGTTATCGGTGGTATGAGCCAGTTGTGCTCTGGATGCGAGCGATAAATGTTCATTTCAGAGGGAAATCAATATTTTCTTCAATAAAAAATTGTCAACCGTGGAATATCCACTAGTACCGCGGATAAACAATTCTCCAGTCGGTTTTTAATAAAATAATAATTCTCTTCGATTAATTTCAAGAATAAACAAGTGTTGCAGGATAAATAAAGATCGCGCTGAACCTGATTCTATTCATGATCCATTCTGGTGAACAATTTGGAATAAATTATTATTAATAAATTTTTGCATAATCCAACGAAACATTGGATATTGATGGAGTGAAAACTATTGAAACAGTTTCAACTCCAATTTTACAAAAAACCGTAATTGTTTTTATTTTTTCCTCCCACAACACTTGATCTGCAGCTGCGCAATTTTAATTGCTCTAATAACGTTTTTTTTTTGTCTCATCACGGTCATCTGTTTATTGCAATTTCCACTGGACTTGATATTTTCCGGTTTTTTTTGGAATAGTGAAATGAAAGAGACTTCTTTTGCCTGGGGATTTGATAATGGAATGGACGTGGTGGAAGGACTGGTGGAGATTGAAAAAGTGGCGTCAGAGTAGAAGCCAGCAGGAGAATTTAGATGACTTTGACGATTGTTGTTACTGTGATGAGTGTCTCGTAAGAAGTCATTCTTTATCTTTACACCTATTCGATAACGTATACCGAAAGAACCGACAGGGGAACGGGAACGGTCATGGAATAAACCTTGAGAGTGTTTTCCCTGTGCTCGAGTAATTCGAATGTCAATGTTTTTGCTGTCTGTCATTAGAAACTATGAATCAACTCCACGTGCACTCGACTTTGACTGAAAATATCTCGGGTGCACACCCGGTGGTTAACAATTTAAATATAGAAATTCCGTTTTGTTGTTGGTCTAGATGAATTTTGGTATTTTGTTTCACCTTGGATGAATGGAGCTTGCGATGCTGACTTGTCCTGAATGAGGGACAGTAATGAGGACACGTTGAGGGTTGATGAGGGGTAATTGAGAATTTTTATTGATATTTCAGGGCGAGCTGTCGGACGGGTGTGTCACCGAGGATGGGTGCATGGGAGGAAGTGATTTTGAGGGTGAGGGCAAACAAGTCCTGGTGGGAATATGCGCCATGGCCAAAAAATCACAGAGTAAACCGATGAAGGAGATTCTAACGAGACTAGAGGAATTCGAATACATTAAAATCATAGTATTCGGTGAGGAGGTCATATTGAAAGAGCCCGTTGAGGATTGGCCGATCGTTGATTGTCTGATAAGTTTTCACAGCAAGGGATTTCCTCTGGACAAGGCCATCAGTTACGCAAATCTCAGGAATCCATTCATCATAAATAATTTACCGATGCAGTACGACATTCAGGTGATTCATCGATTCATTGTTCCGTTTGTGATTTACATCGCTGAGATATTTCATTTATCATCGATTTACCATTTTTTTCTTTGCAACTGATCTATTCAGGATAGGAGAAGGGTTTATGCTATTTTGGAGAGCGAGGGAATTGAAATACCCAGATATGCTGTACTCGATAGAGACTCAGCTGATCCAAAACGTAAGTAATTCTTTGTCCTGGGTAGAAAAATCTAACATTCATACTGATGTTTTCTCATTGAATCAAGTTGTAAATTGCTCTCTTGTTTCATCATTATCGGTAAGAATTTATCCAGTCGTGTGACGATTTATTGGTTAATTGTAAACTAATTGTTGAAGTTTTCCGTCCTGTAAATTAAACAGAACACATTCATGTCCTTGTGTAGGAGTACGTTTTTTAAAGATTGATTTCGCTGTTGCTATAATAAAATGTTGATTTTTGGTTTAATTTTTATCCTGTCGTGTTGAATGTTCCACTTTTGACATGCGAAGAACTAAGAATTTATTTCAGACCACGAACTGGTGGAGTCTGAGGACCACGTGGAGGTGAACGGTGTAACATTTAATAAACCGTTCGTTGAGAAACCTGTGTCAGCTGAGGATCACAATATTTATATATATTATCCAACATCCGCTGGTGGTGGCAGTCAACGTTTGTTTAGGAAAGTAAGTCATCGAATTTCTACGCCAATCATTTAATTAGCGTGCATTCGACGAATAATTGTTTTCCTTCAGATTGGCAGTCGGAGTAGTGTCTATTCCCCAGAATCTCGAGTCAGAAAGACGGGATCCTACATCTACGAGGATTTCATGCCTACCGACGGTACCGACGTCAAAGTCTATACAGTTGGTCCTGATTATGCTCACGCAGAAGCAAGAAAAAGTCCAGCCCTCGATGGCAAAGTGGAGAGAGACTCCGAGGGAAAAGAAATTCGATATCCCGTGATTTTGAGTAATGCCGAGAAGTTGATCAGCAGAAAAGTCTGTCTGGCCTTCAAACAGACCGTCTGCGGCTTTGATCTCCTGAGGTATTGATCCAACCAGCGCATTGATAGTGAAAAAAAACATTCATCCTTGGTTTATTCATTTTTCCGGTGGTTTTGTAGGGCAAATGGAAAGTCGTTTGTTTGTGACGTAAATGGCTTCAGTTTTGTCAAGAATTCCAATAAATACTACGACGACTGTGCCAAAATCTTGGGGAATATGATACTCCGAGAATTGGCACCGACCTTGCATATTCCTTGGAGCGTTCCATTTCAACTCGATGATCCACCGATAGTACCGACAACCTTTGGAAAAATGTAAGACACTCATTTATCGATAATTCATCTCGGTAACCACCAAATGCGTTCAACAGGATGGAATTGAGATGCGTCGTAGCAGTAATCCGCCATGGAGATCGTACCCCCAAACAAAAAATGAAAGTTGAAGTTCGCCATCCAAAGTTCTTCGAGATATTTGCCAAGTACGATGGCTACAAGCATGGCCACGTGAAATTGAAACGGCCTAAGCAGCTCCAGGAGATCCTGGACACAGCGAGGAGTCTTCTAGCTGAGATCCAGCATCGAGCCGCTGGGCCAGAGCTCGAGGAGAAGCAGGGAAAGCTGGAGCAGTTGAAGAGTGTCCTAGAAATGTGAGAGAGCATCCTCAAAAAAATTCACCAGCTCCAACAATCACTCCATCACTTCGACCAATCGATCCCTGAACTTGACTGATGATTTTTTCAGGTACGGCCATTTCTCAGGTATCAACAGAAAAGTCCAGATGAAGTATCAGCCCCGGGGAAGACCCAGGGGAAGCTCGTCCGACGATGGTAACAGCCACAGTATGAATCTTCCCATTAATTCATTAACATCAAAGTTTTTCTAGAATTTGTTGTCATTAAAATCATGATTCTTCATGGGTATCCCTCAGGATAACCAATAAACAATCATCGATGCTCTCCAAGAGGACACCAATTGTAATATGCATCCATTTCCATTATTTGTGTATCATCAATCGATTAATCCCAATGATTTTTACATTTAGATCGCTTGGGTGAGCCTTCACTCGTACTCATATTGAAGTGGGGTGGAGAGCTTACTCCAGCCGGTAGGATCCAGGCCGAGGAATTGGGGCGAATTTTTCGGTGCATGTACCCTGGTGGTCAAGGTAGACACCTTAGTGGTTCGTATCATGCGCAATTGTGCTTCTTATTTCATTTTATTTTTCAGTTTGAATATATTCAAGTGTATTGAATAGTAGTGTAAGTTTCATACGCAATTTTCTCATTCGATCCATCTTTCTTATGATTTTTCGTCACATCTGCACTCATGGCCAACTCATTAATGCAATTAGTGGATTAATCATTGAATAATTTGTTTAGGAGGATTATTTACTTATTGCAAATTCTTTGTCTCTTTTTTTCGCTAAAATTCCAGAGGATGACTCAGAGATGTTACCAAGCCACGGTAACTTTTCTAATTTCAATGGATTTTTTTTTTATTTACTTTTGTCACTTGATGGTTTTCAGCTTGCAGATTGACATTTGTTAGTTTAATTGTGCCACAGGGAATGAAAATACAAAGAGATAGTTTAGTTTATTAACGAAATGTTACTGTGGTTTGAATTATCATGGATTATGCACAGTTTTGTGTTTTCAATTATTTTCCTCATGTGGCATGATATCAAAGAGTGTTGATGCGAAAGTTTGGATCAATGATAGTAAAGATTGAATATTAAACGTCAGTTCAGTGGTGAAGGGGTCAAATGAGGGGGCTCAAATTAATTTCAAAGACGAGTTATTTTAATATCTCGTTCCACCGCTTCTCCACTGATTCGTCGGAACGCATTCCGATAATAAAATGAAATTACAGGGGAGTACGCGGGTGCTCAGGGATTGGGTCTGCTGAGATTGCACTCGACTTTCAGACACGATTTGAAAATTTACGCGAGTGATGAGGGCAGAGTTCAAATGACAGCCGCTGCATTTGCCAAAGGGCTTCTAGCGCTTGAAGGAGAGCTGACACCAATTCTGGTGCAAATGGTCAAGTCAGCAAATACGAATGGACTCCTTGACAACGATTGTGACAGCAGTAAGTACCAGAACATGGTGAAAACGAAGCTCCACGAGTTGCTCCAGCAGGACCGGGACTTCACTCCAGACGATCGAAGTCAGATAAATCCAGGGAATGCCCTGAGCATAAACGACGCTCTGGATTTCGTAAAGAATCCAGTGAAATGTTGTCAACACGTGCAGTCACTGATCCAGAAGTTGATGGACATTGTACGACTCAAGAAAGAAGACCCGAAGACCAAAGACGCCATTTTGTATCACGGCGAGACCTGGGAGTTGATGGGACGCCGTTGGGGAAAAATCGAGAAGGACTTTTGCACCAAAAACAAGCGTTTCGACATCTCCAAAATTCCGGACATCTACGACTGCATAAAGTATGATCTCCAGCACAACAATCACACCCTCCAATTCGATCACGCCGAGGAGCTCTACATCTACGCTAAATATCTCGCGGACATCGTAATCCCCCAAGAGTATGGACTGACCGTCCAGGAGAAGTTAACGATTGGTCAGGGGACTTGCACTCCGTTGTTGAAAAAAATCCGAGCTGATTTGCAAAGAAATATCGAGGAGTCTGGAGAGGAGACAGTGAATAGGCTGAACCCGAGGTACTCCCATGGGGTTTCAAGTCCTGGAAGACACGTTAGGACTCGCCTGTACTTCACCAGCGAGAGTCATGTTCACTCTCTGCTGACAGTACTCAGGTACGGTGGTCTCTTGGACGTTGTCAAGGATGAGCAATGGAGACGAGCGATGGAGTACGTCTCGATGGTCTCGGAGTTGAATTACATGTCGCAGATCGTGGTGATGCTGTACGAGGATCCGACGAAGGATCCCAGCAGTGAGGAGAGATTTCATGTTGAGCTGCATTTCAGTCCTGGTGTTAATTGTTGTGTACAGAAGAACCTTCCACCGGGTCCTGGCTTTCGTCCACACTCCAGAAACGAGAGTAGTCACAATTTGGAGACAAATTCCCAGTGCAGCACTCGAATCGAGGAGGAGGAGGAAGCCTTCATGGGGGATGTCTCCAGTCCGATCAGTCCTCAAGAGGTTTCAGACTCATCGCCACCGATGATTGAGACTGAGAATGCTGATTCGACACTCGATAGTCCCACGACGAGTCGAGCCATCGATATGATGGATTTGGATCCTAATATGATGGATGAACCGTATGACTCGGGTTTTCTTCAGGGCTCAGCACCCATTCCTATCAGTGCAAGGACTGTCGCTGGACACGAAGCTGCCAGGCTTGGGAGCCAATTGGCTGCCAGTCAGAGACAGAGAAGGGAAAGAGAGGGTCATAGCATCTGTGAACCGAGGGCGCGTAGCTATGATCATCAGAGACAGGAGAAACCAGATAAAAGTGAGTATCTGGAGAATTCCTGATGTTATTCCTCAACTTTTGGATTTTTTCGTGTCTTGAGGGATTCTCGCATGATCGGATGGCTCGAATGAATGATGTTGCATGACAGTTTATTTCCCTAATTTTTTGAATCAGTCTTTTTTTTCGGGGGGGAATACTAGAGATCTAGATTAAGGGATGCCAGGAAAGCAGAAATCCATGATATAATTTTGTTCGATTCCTTGATTTACTCCAGTCTTTTCTTTCGATTGATTAAAAATTTATCGTCTGACTCAGTAATTTATGAGTTCTGTCTTTATATTAAAATTGAAATGGAGCTGCAATGTGTCCTTGTGTTTCTTCTATTCTCTTTTGTAGCTGCAGATAAGCTGCAGTATCAAAGTCTCGACGCCGTCAACAGAGAAGGTACGTCCTGCGTGAGGATTGGAATAATCTTAAACTCTTTACTGGTCTCGTACGCATTACAAGAGTATAAAAATCGTCATGTTGATTTTTTTTTCCAAAATTCTTAATGTGAAAGATTGACACTCACGCAAATTACTCACTCAGTAGCATTTACAATTTTCCCAGGAGGTGAAAAACAACATGACTGTGATATTTTATTTTTTCATTATTTTGAAATAACTCTGCTCTGCGATGGTTGTGCGAGTGGTGACCCTCGAAAATATGAAAATATGTCAGAATGACTGTCGTTTGGACCACAAGACTCATCCATCCTGTGATCCATCCCATAGTTATTCGAAATAAATCCAAAACAAATTCCTAAATCCTCCAAGGAATGTTTTTTATATAATATCCTATTGATATAAAAATTAAACTCTCTATTTATTCACCGCTTTGAGGCACTTTATGATGTACATTTCCACAAGCGGTGGAAATGATCTCAAATACACGTGCCTTACACCATAAATCACAGTGCTGTGCGACTAATTGCTCAATCAACACAATTATTGGATCCTCACTTTTCTCTCTAACAAAATTTGTCCAGGGCTTTTGCTTTTTCTGGCTGACAATGATTGTCTGCATGTGTCTCTTGTGAGTGTGTGCTACTGAAAGAATCATATCTCACCATTCTAAGGAAAAAGGTAGAGCTTCCATTTTTAACCGGTTACGTGTTCTCCCGTTTGTTTAGGATTTTTATTTTCCATTTCCCAGGAGATCAGTGACATGAATTTAAACATCCACACCATCTCCCGGTGAAATTCCAATTAATCCACCACCGAATTAATATTTATTTGAATCTTTTGGTACTTGGTATTTACCATCTTTTTCTTTTTCTCTTTCTTTTCTCCCTTTCCTCCCACCACCACCTCAAAAAATCCCCGAACCCGTCACGAAAAATCAGAAGACCCGCGGTTGAAAAAATCGGCGCGTTCACGTCGCAATAGTCCAACCCTAACCGAATCTCGAAATATCCTGGGTATTCCGATGATACTCCCGTATACCCTGAGCTCACCAGAATTTCCAGCGCCACTCCTGGACTCTCTCCAGGAGCACGGACCCCTGGTTACCTTTCACAACACATCACTCGGCTCGCCAACGACAAAAAGGCCATCGATTCAAATATCAGACGACGCGAAACCCTTTATGAGTACACACCAAAGATACGGCCGCTCCAAGTCAACACTGACATTACCAGTAATTGAAGTCCCGGGTGAGTTCGGCCCGGTACGCTCAAAATCCCTATCACCAAGCCCTAGAGTAAATTGCCAATGTTATAACTGCAACATCTCTGAACTAATACTCCAGAGTCATGAATTGAGTCCCTCCGAGCGATCAAATTTACGAACATACTTTGCCCGCTCAATGTCACGTAAATTCATCAATTGCTCCTGTTACGGGGTATACGTAGACGGTCCAGTTTTATCTAATCAACGTGAGGATTTAATCCCCTCTGAAATAAACTCAAGACGTCAATCACTCGATCGAAATTCTCTTGTCGTTAAGAATTGTCTGTTAAATTTCGATAAATATCTTCGTCATCGATTGATAAAACGTCACTCGTGGCCACTTATTGTGAGAACCGAGGCTGATACAAGGCATGCTAGTTTACCACCAGAATCATCATCATGTACCTCTGATTGTAGTCCTAGTGCACAAGACTGTCATTATGTTAACTATCACAGTAGTTATGCCTGTAAGCACGATGAGAGAGACAGAAAGACACAATTATCAACAACCTTATCCAAAATCCATGCGCAACGATCCTTCTCATCCCCAGACACAAGACCTACGATCATTCAACCTGACCCTACATGCACAGCAAGGCGCCATCGTCACAGTATCTCCGGGCAGATGAGTTATTTCAAACTGCTGGGTATCAACGTTACCAAGAAGCTGACTGGTTCCGCTAATAGTTTATTCAGTACTGCTGTTATCAGTGGTTCATCAAGTGCTCCCAATCTCAAGGATATGGTACCACCACATGCATCAGCTGTTGCAGGTGAATAAATTCACTCCACAAAAATTTTTCATTGTCATTTGTGACAATTGTCTTGATTTCGTTCTATCGAGTAGCTATCGAGGGTTTCGGTGGAGTACCACCTATCAGACCACTGGAGACATTGCATAATGCCCTCTCGCTTCGGCAATTGGATTGTTTCTTGGAGATGATGACCAGTGCTCCCTTGTTCAGAACACCAGCTTCATCTCCACCGAAATTCCCATCGCCTGGAGGTTCTCAGGGCTCGCTAGTTCCTCACTTGTCGATTGCAGGGGCTATAGAGCCATCCAGGTAACGAGGTCTTGAATATTTTTTAATAAATATCTCCTAGATTCCCCTTGGTTTCTTGCAATGGTTTTTTCTCAGATTTATCGCCCCTTCTGGACTTCCTTACAAACCGGGGGAAGGGGGAGAAGTCGGTGATCATCGCGCGCAGCTGTCGCCAACGAGTCCTAACAGTAAGATGCCAATTTAATTTGGAGAGATGAAACAGTTAGTCGTCTTTTCTATCTCTTCAGTCGGTGTTATTTTTAAAAATCAGGTACAGGTTGGAGCAGTGAGCCCCAGTCATTCCTCTCCTCGGAGCCGTCCTCTCCAGCCCCTACGTCAGCAGGAGAATGCAGCATGTCGATAAGTCTAATCAGCAACGATGGAAGTCAGCCCTTCGCAGGTCCAAAGTTCTCTGCAGGTCCTTGTCTTGAGATGGACTTCAACGAATTCTGCATGGTGATGGATCAGGAGATCAGAGAGGGACGTGGCAGTATATCCTACACAGACTACTACAGCAGTGAGGACGGCACCATTCGGAAGACAGTTGAAGAACCAAAAGAGTCTATGGAAGATGAGGAGGAGCACACCCTGACGCTGCGACAGAGTGAAGAGCAGAAGAAACAGGACGTTCAATCTATATTCGAGCAGAAACCCAGTGGCTTCAAAAAGATCGGCAGATTTAGAGTCGAAAGCATGGAAATTGCTGATGAGGACGTCAGGATCAAGACTGTATTGAGCGCATCGCAGTCTCTCGAGAAATTGAGGGGTCAGAATATTTCCCCGTTGAAGAAAGACAGAATTGATGATGGGAAGAAATCGAGAAGCCTACGGGTTAAAAAGGGAAAAACCATTCTGAGATCACAGAGTGTATCGGGTGCTCAGGGAGATGAAAAAGAATCTAGTGGTGTTTATGAGGGATCACTCTCCACCACGAAATTGGGAAGCTTCTCCACCATGAGTGGAGGTGATCTGGAGAACTGGAAAAAATCAGTCGAGGAGAGACCTGCAAAACCTCCTCCAACAACTGATATTGCGGATGAACCGACACTCACTCTCGCTGGGAGTATGAAGGATAGCTCCAATGTCACGATTGGATTTGATATTAAGGGTGATAAACAATGTTGAGGATTTTGTACTTTAAATAAAGCCATTCCTGAGTGATTATTATTCCGATTTGTACGGGGAATAAATTGAAAGGTTTTACGATGTGGTAGAGATGTTCAAGGTGCTTACGAGCTTTTTAGAGCAGTTTCCGAACGAAAGTACCTGGTTAATAATTCGTAGGGCTGCTTTAGTTGGTAATGATGGATATGTGATGTAATTACAGTGACGAACGTGCAGATACTTAACAATAAATGTATTACTAGGATATTTTTAGAAGAATATAATGATGTTTTTAATTTTGTGAGAGGTCGTGTAATTGTTGTGAAGCTTAGGCTCTTTGTATAAATTATTGAGAGGTATGTACAAGTCCGCATTGTATTATGAATAAAAAACTGTTGAAAGTGATTTCGCATTTTTTTTTTCATTGCAAGGAATGAAGCTATGTGAAGTTGGCATCGAAGTTTGAAAAATCTAACTTTTTTTTGTTGGTTTGGATTGTACTCATTGAGTACTTGAATGTACCCTGTGCACTTTTTTT